CTACAGTTTTTATTTGTTCAGCGTACATATTAATATAGTAACATTATAAAATAAAATGCTATTTAGTCATCTATGTTCTCTAATCCAACTTTCTGGACTGGATTAAATTACATATTACTCATTTTTCATATAATCAAATTACTAAAGTGTAAGATTTTGTCCTAAAAATTTACTGCATAAAAACAGTTTAAGAGCTGGTAATGAGACAGAAGCCTGAAAACTGTAAGACACTCATATACACCATCTGCCTACACAGTCTAAGTAAAACAGAAGTCATAAGTAGTCATGTATGATGATGCAAGAAACCAGTAGACTACTTTTGAGGGTGGGAGTGATCCAAATACATAGCACCACAGTTTGAAACAAAGCCTAATATGTAACACCCAAATTTCACATTTCAGTTTTCACAGAAAATTTTATATTCAAAATTTATGGTATGTGTTGGATATGTCTCTACTTTAAAAGAAACAGATCAGGTTACCTACATGTCAATGAAGCCCACGATTAAACATACTCAAAGCCAGGCATGGCAATTTCAGATTTTTTGGACTCCAGCTCCCAGAATTTGCCAAGAATTCCCCAGGAAGAATTCTGGGAGATACAGCCAAAACGTTTACAGAGTTTACAGAGAAGCTTTCTTTACCTACTTGTGGAAACTGCCTTGGTGCTCCCTGGGAACAGAAAGGCTTTATTGGAGAGGTAGGCCCACTGCCCATTAGGCTCCATAGAAGGCTTCTTTCAAAGAGCTATCTTTCCTATGAAGCCCTGGAACTCCCATGCAGCACCAGGACAGTTTCCTTCATAGCAATTGAGGTTCAGGTGTAGATACAGAAAACTGCTCAGAAAACTTTTCTTTTTTGACTGCATCTCCCAGAATTCTGCCCGGGGGGGGGATTTTTCGTGAATTCTGGGAGTAAGAGTCCAAAAACCTCTGAAAGTCCCATCCCTACTCAAGACCAGCTGCTGGGAAAATGGCTGACGTTACAAGCCTCAGAGAACATATTCATAAGCTACTTTAAAAATGTTTGTAAGAACTAGTTTCTGAAGGTTTGCAAAATCAAATATTCATCTATTATAAATGACCCCACAGCAAAGCTATATAAAAGTCATTCAACATTTTAAAATTCTGCACTGAATTTACAGAAACTCTATTTTGTTAGTAGGAAATTCTGGAAATATTTCTAGGATTTATAATAATTTTTAACCATGCCACCTTTTTACATTATGTGATCATTACTGAAATACTGTTGCTTAATGTAGTAAACTGCATTAGAGTACCCCCCCTTGGAATCAGATTTGGTGAGTCAACTCCTCCATATGATCCACTGATTCAAATGGGTGTGCTCTAATTGCAGCTTACTGCAACATAGTAAGTCACAGAGTAGGCCCATTTAAATCAATGAAACTTATGGAGCAGCTGACTCATCAAATCCCCAGATTCAATGGGCCTACTTTATTATGACTTACTAAGCAACAGGCCTACTACAATGTGACTTCCTAAGCAACAGGATTTCTGCCATTACAATAATGAAATATATTTTATACTAAATTGAAAATGTCAGATACAAATTTAACAGCAATTAAATTAATAATTAATAATTACACAATTCACATCTATGTTTATTAAAAGAAAACAGCAAAAAAAGCTGTTTTTATTTTCTCCAATTTAAACACTACAGTTTTTATTTGTTCAGCGTACATATTAATATAGTAACATTATAAAATAAAATGCTATTTAGTCATCTATGTTCTCTAATCCAACTTTCTGGACTGGATTAAATTACATATTACTCATTTTTCATATAATCAAATTACTAAAGTGTAAGATTTTGTCCTAAAAATTTACTGCATAAAAACAGTTTAAGAGCTGGTAATGAGACAGAAGCCTGAAAACTGTAAGACATACATTCTCCAGCATCCATACACAACATAGGCAATAACTACTTTTTTCAAAAATAGAGACGGAGAAGCCAAAACATATAGGAAGACCAGAATTTCATTAAAAGCTGCCCTAGAAATGTAAAAGCTTTTGTGACTTGATGACATCTGAAATCAGAATTAATACTGGTTTTAAAATAAATATTTTACATCTTAAGAACACCAGAGGGAAAAGGATGGGGGGGGGAGCTCAGAGAAAGCTGTTTTCATTCATGCAGTAGTGATGTCAGTGTCTGCAGTGGCAGCTGCCTGACCTGTACAGGCTTCCAATCTAGAGCAGTTTCTCAGCTTTCCTTTCAAGAACCTCTGGCAGTTCCCTTACCTACTGAAGAACTTAAACCTGAGCACTGTGACAAAGTAGTAAATATATTCCATACAAATATATATTTTCTCTTCCATATTATTTCCAATATAAATTGAATAGTAAGATTCACTTGCAGAGTCACAGCCATACACCATTGCAAAAGAAAGCAAGATTATACTCTAGAAGGAAGCCTATTTATTAAAATGTCATGCTCTTGACAACTGTTAAAATAAGTACAAAGCTAAATAATTATCACAGTGTTTAATAGTTGAATGCTTATTTATTGCCTCTTAGTGTAACATGAGTTTTCACAAAGCAGCTCTACAGAGATTCTCTGCAGTTAATGCCAGATTGTCATTCCTATTTTATTAAATTGACCAGAACTGTTAACAATAGAGAGATGATAAAACCAGGACAACTGAATTAGTTAAGCTCAGCAAAAACTAGTTTACAAGACAGATTCTGTAGCCTGTACTTTTAAAATCTGCATTTTACTTTTAAGTGTGCAAGACTAAAGAGAATGCAGTTTTATGACCTGAACAAAGTGATTTCGCATCTCTGTAAAACTATAGCAATGAATGAGTGCAACTAGCCCTTATTTCCACTCATTCAAAACTTACTGAGGAACGTTCACTTTCTAAGAAACTGGCTTGACTAAGGAGGGAGACTCATTACCTCATGACATATGTAGGCAACAATCCCTGACTGGTAGTAAATATAATTTCATATTGTACTCTCGCAATTCCTTAAAACTATGTATGCTACTATGACTTCAGAACAAGTCAAACAAATATATAATTTAGAAGTCTAAGTGGAAAAAAAAATCTTAAGTCCACAGAAATGTTCAAGTGATTACTGTCTAAAGTACTCCCTTTTAAAAAAAATTAGGAAAAATCACTTATAAGGGCTTTATATTTTAATTTAAAAACACTTCCTGCATTTGTCAGTATTTATATACTTAAATCATGATATATACAGAAATATGAACTAACCTCTATTTTTACACAGCACCTGATTCAAGCAGTTAAGATTAATCCCAGAATAACTTCCAAAAACTCTTTTACATTCAAGATCAAACCTGCTGCACAATTTACATATAAACTGAAATGCAAGAAATTTACATTCATATTTTGGTGTGATTTTTCTTTAAAGCTCAGTGTACAATAGCATTTTGGAGAAGTGTTTCGGCTCCTCCAAATAACTGGACCTACACAACTAACTGCAAGAATTTAAGGGAAGTATACTTCTAATATGCTGTTTTCAATACTAAACTAAGGTTTTTTAATTTGCTGTTTTAATGGAACACAGTCTTGGCATAATTAAAGAAGCTGTAGTGTTGAAAGATGCATGATACCCGATAGCTGCAGCAAGGTAAACAGTGTATTTAGTATGATTTATTCAACTGCTGAAGTGAGGAAAAGGGAGTAAGCATCTAAAATGGCAATTATGACTTTGAAGAACACAGAATATATGCCCTTCTGTTTCAGAGATTTTGGAATTTATTTTCACTTAAATTTGGAACTCAAGTCTAGCCTGTAGTCGCTCGTGGTACTATATTACATTCTTTAACAAAAATATTATGGAATGTACATTCTTAACATCCTAGTTTATATTTAAAATGTTTGCTTGTAAAAATGTAGTCTCAGCCCTGTGAATGGGTCATATTTAAAGGGGCATAGTTTTAAAGGAGTTTTGGGACAGATTGCAAACAGGATCCTAGCCAGTAATATTGTCTGGTACATCTTCTAGAAATGTTGCAAACTGTATACTACTGCTAGATCTCATAAATCTTTGTATTTAGAATCTGCAAGTTTCTTAGTGCACAGTAATTTAAGAAACTTTTGGTATCCTGACTGCTATACCACTAAAAGAGTACAGGAGTATTTTAATGACTATTACTGCAACTGGTATATATCTAGAAGTATCCCTCACGCAAGTATATTTGCACTCTAGCTCTTGAAGGCAAACATCCCAGGACATAAGCTTCAGGAATCCCCTAAAAAGCATTTGAAAAGTTAACTTCACACTTCAGGACAACCTCTACATTCCCTATTAATGTTAAAAGAATAATTACCATACATGACGCAAACAGTTCATGACCGGATACCGCTAAAATCACTTTAAATTATTTACTTATGGCAATGATGAAAAGGCATTAAAGATAAACTTCATTCAACTGATGATCCCACTCCAGGGAAGAAGCCAACCTAGCCTTCCAGGAATTTGCAGAAGATTATCTTGCACTCCAAGCTGAGTTAGTCTGCCTGGGATGTCCCAAGAACTCTCAATTACTTAATATGGCTTAGAGTCCTCACTTTACCTTCAAACATGGGCTAAAAGGGAAAACTACTATTCTACCCTTTAGTCAGCCTGATCAGGAAATCTATTTTGGAATGGAGAAAGGGTGCTAAAAGAGAAACTAATTAACCTTCATCTTCACACTGGTGGGTGTAATTTTTTAAAGGAGTTTTCTCCCCTCTTCTTTTCATCTTGGGCTGTAACCTTATCCTAGACGAAGGCCCATGAAACACACAATTACTCAGTAGTCAACAATCAGGATTTGATTGTTCCATGGGAAAAGCTGAAATGGCACAACGGGGTTGTGTTAGAAGCCTAGCCTTTTCATTAAATGAGTGGTGCTTTGGGGGTGGTGGTGGTGAGGGGTCCGGGAGATTAAAGGTCGATGTTGACGAGTCAACTCTGGAGGTTATGTGCGTGTGGACGAGTTATGATGGACCGGCCCTTTCTGTGCCTTTACCTCTATACATGGGTGAACTGGGGCTCCTTCGCTCAGGCGAGATGCTTCTCCGCCTGCCGTTGCTGCTGCTGTTGGCGGCGGTGCTGTTGGTGAAACTGTCGGGCGAGCGCCTCTGCCTCCCCTTCACCCGCCCCGGGTCCACCGCACTGCCGGGTCCTGGCGGGCTGGCGGCGGCGGCGCTCGCTGAGGCCGCCAGGGCCAACGGCGGAGTACAGCTGGGCGGGGGCGGGGGTCCTCTTACTGTGATTTACCTGGTGTTCTATCACTGCCCCCAGTGAATTTTCTCCCTCTTGGAAATGTGATACTGAACTGCAGATACTTGAGCTTGTAGGACATTGGCTGGCCTCCTGTTCCTCTGCGTTTTGCTGTATTTCCCCCTCCTCCTGGCCTCTTTGGCCCCGTTACTACCGACCGAAGCTCCGGCGCTGCCGCTGGTGGGGGACCCGGCGGCGCCGCGCCGCATCCTCTGAGGGGGCTGCTGGTGGTGCGGAGGGGTCTGCGAGGAGGAGCTGGACATGGCGGCGGCGGCGGCTCCTCCAAGGCGAAAGAAGAGAAACAAACGACGGCGAGCGAGCGAGCGAGCGGAGCGCTCCCGGACTCTCACGCACGAACACGCCCCCTACGAAAGCGGACGGGACGGGGCCGAGCTAGGCGGCAACCTCCACCAGACCTTTCGGCGCTGCAGTTACCACTGGGCTGCGGGGGCCACCATGGCTGCCCGCCTCGGCAGCTCAACCCCTCACGCCTCACATCGTCCATTAAACGGCGCCCGGCCACGGAAAGGGAGTCAGGGGTTGTCTGGTGGGGTGGGGGGGCGGGGTGAGGCGCTCGCGCGCTCCTCTTCCCGCCTGGCCTCCAAACTCGGGGCCGACGCTCCTTGCTGCTGCTTCCGCTGCCGTCGCACCTGCCGCCCGAATCCACCTACCCTCCACCTCTGCCGCCCTCCTTCCGACTGCCACTCCGCAGACTCCACAGCCCCATCTGTGGCGGGCAAGGGGCGTCAGGCCTTCAGCCCATTGGGCAACCAGCCGCCGTTAGCTAGAGCCTGGTTGGTTACGGCCCGAGAAAGGACACAGAAGTGGACCAATCGTCACCCTCCGCTTCACCTGGAGGTGGAGACAAGGGAAGAGAAGGAAGGGGTTGGTGGTAGTCGGGGCTGCTTTGTGAAGAGGCAGAGAGCAAGAGGGGGAGGGGGAGAGTGGAAGGTATCGTTTTTAGGGAGGAAGACCCTTTAACGTCAAAATCAGGCGAATGTTATTATCGGGGAACACGTGACCTTGGGGGTTAGGAAGAATGGTATAACTCTGCTCCCCACCTTTGAAAGCTAGCAAATCGTCAGCAAATGCCAGAACTATACTATGTCAATTCTAGGCTGTGTGTACTTAAAAAAACGTAGAGAAGTTTTCTTCATCATAGAAACTTTTCTGACGTTTGTGTGCATATTGCTGAAGTTAAATATAAAATCTCTGTGTTTTATGCTATGCATTGATTTAAAAAAAAATCCAAAATCATGTTGCACCAAAAACAAACATCTTGTGGTACCTAAAAGGTTTAACAGAATTATTAGAGCATGAACTTTAATGAATGGAAAGCTTATGCTATAATACTTTTTAAGTCTTTAAGGTCCCACAAGACTCTCTTTTCATTGTTCATAGAACTAATACTTTCTCTGAAAGTCAGCGAAGGACATATGCATTCAGAAAAGATAACAAATCTTTATAAGATATATCACATGTATATCTCATTTATTTGACAATCTAGAACTCTTCCCAATCTGTGACCTAAGCTGTCCCTCACAGAGTATGTTCACTGAAAATAGATGTCATTTTATATTTTTATAAACATATTTGTGTGTGAGAGAAGACAAACTTATAATATTTGTACACACTTGTATAAATCTGTTCAAATTAATCAGTGTAAGAACATATACATTATGGCCAGAATCCTATTGGAAATTTGAATGTGTGCTTGTATGTAACTGAGCGGCAAATTGCCACTAATTAATAAGTTGCTATTTGCATGCCTAGTCATGGTCCAAGTTCCATGATTGGTGCATGACTCGGAATATAAGCAGCAACTTGTTAATCTGGAGCAATTTGTCAGCACAATTTGCACAATTAAACATAATGCAGCTGTACATCCACAAAGGATTCTAGAATACAACTTCTCTTTTTAAAATAAATATACCTGTATATTGCACAAGGAGGTCCAAAATTAACACATTACATCAGGCAGCTGTCAAAGCTATAATATCATAGGTAAACACTACTGAAACTGCCCTTGCTCTTCCAGTTTTCCCTCATGATACTTAGTTCTGCATTTTTACGTTCTCATTATGTCATTGGACAGCATTATGTCAAGGGCAATTTCAGAGATTTACATTATACATCTTGCTACCAGGCCCTGATCAAAGTCCTGCTTACTCCTAGGAATGATCAGAGAGGAGACAGGATGTAGCTTCATATTCTATTGTATAGGACAGTCCTTTATGGAGAAGGCTATCAGAAGACAGGCCTCTAATTGAAGGTGTCATCTGTTTGAAGGGATATATATAGAGAGAGACATGGTCTAGAGGGGCGGGGTAAAAATAAAGTTATGATAAATGTCACTAATTTGAGTAGTCATTACTCTGTGCAAATAAATAAATTCACAGTTACATTACTGTATAAGGATAACCTAGTTTAAAAAGGCACGTGCTCTTGTGGGTAAGAGCTTCCTTTAAAAGAAGCCATGGTATACTTGTAAAGGTTGCCCATGATTTGAGAATATCACAGTATCAGGGGGGACAATGCATGCCTCCTTATCTTCACAGTTCACATCTTCATGTAACAGAATGTCTTGCTTCCTTTGTATGTGTATGTGTGTGTGTCTCTCATTTTAAATTGCCAGAAATCTAATTTTGCACTTGGTTTAATTTTATGGAAACAGTGTCTTTATTTATTTTAATTCTTGATTCTTTTAATATTTTGAGATGCCAGGCACAAGACACTGGAACAAATTAAACTGAACTGAAAAATTCAGAAATATTGATTAAAGTTTCAGGGTAATACAGGGAGCTTAGATAACTGGGACATTAATGTTTTGAGAACATAACATCTGATTGCACATTTTTCCATGGAAGCAACTCCCAGGCTGTTATTATTCCAGGTGAAGGGTGTGTAGGAGTATTCTGTCTTAATATACAGCATTTCCCAGACTGTGGATTGCAACCTCCATTGGTTGCACTGCTGAGTTCTACCCAGTATCTCTTTCTTTGAATGATTGCCCTCCATCATAGGATTTCCAGAGGTCATTGCAGGCACCGCTCATGGTAAACTAAGGAAGAGGAAAAGGAGAAGCACCTGGAATGGCTTGTGCATGATTGCATCATGTTTGATAGCCACCCTTTTCACTTCAAAAGTACAGCCTGCTGCTGAGCGCCAAGATAGAGAACCTGTGTGTTTCTATGCATGTGCACGGGAGAATCGTAGTGGGGGAGAAGATGGAACAGGGTAACAGACTGAGTTGGGGGGGATCTTTCTTCTTTGAGGGAAAAGAGTCAAAGGAGGTTTTCAAATACTGTAAATTAGAAAGAAAGATATACAAGTAATATTTTTAATTATGATGTTGATAAAACTGGGCATAAGGAGATAAAAGGTAGGAGGAAGGCTGATATAAACGGAAGTGAGTGGAAAAGCAACATGATGGTGAAATAAACAGGCTTTTGGGGATAGGGTACAAGCTAAGAATCAGTGGGAAGGAGAGGAAGAAATTAGAAGAATGCTTCAAGAAACATGTGGAATAAGAAAGAGAAAATATTATAAACACTTCTGTACTTCTATTAACAAAATCTGCCTAAAGTGGGAGGCCTGGCTCATAATACAGTACCTTCTGAGCCAAAACCTGCCTCTCATCTGCCACTGTGACTCAGCCTCTCTATTTCTCTTTTGAGACTGATGGGCCACAGTCATTTTCTGCTCTGTCAGAGGGGCCCTGAGTAGACTTGCCGGGTCAGCAGTATCCCTTTCTCTGAGAACCAATATCTGAGATAAAGGGCCAAGTCCTTGTGATGTCACAGAAGTAAGGCAGGCAAGGTTTGAAAGGAAAGCAAGCACAACATTCACAAACACCTTTACAGTATGCCAGTGAGCTCCAGAGCCAGGAATAGATGGTGTTGGTGTTCAAGCTGTGGAAGATACCTCTCACACTAAACACACATTTTCTAGTTTGGAAAAATATAGCAGTTTCCTGAAATGTCAGGCATCATCCTAAGATCTGGCAATCCTAGCCTTTGGAGATAAAATGTTTGAGCATCTATCATCTGGTAGAACTGAAGTGTGTTCTAGAAAGCAGCAAGGGTAAACATTATTAAATCTTAGGCAGGAAGTTTTGTTTGTTTACAGATGTGGGCAGTTGCGAGAAAATAATGTTAATTTAAGAGAATTTTAATTCCAATTAAAAATTTAATTAACATTTCCATTTTAGAGTATGAAAATCTAAGATTATCCCATTTCTCTTAATTCAACATGTAAGTAGAGTTTAGAATCCCAGCATTTTACTGTATAATTTGCTAACCATTTCAAAATTGCTAAATATTCAAAGTGACAGGTGGTATATAAGCAGAAGGTCTAATGACTATTGATTATATTCTTTATGCATTCCTCTTTAAAAATTTAGCATAATCACTAATTAGACATAATAGTTTATAATTGCATCTACAGAATGTAATGGATCTGTGTAATTAATCCTACCCTTAAGGCAAATTGTTTCTATGATTTGTTAGTGTTGTCTTCCCAAATGTTTCTTCCTCAGTCATTTCTGTTCTTGCTCAGGACATAGCCGCACTGGGCAGTATATCCTGAGGATATGTATAGGCACTGGGCAAGAATAATGCAGAGAATGACCATGCAATCCTGTACATCTCTAATCACGCCCCATTGATCACAAAGTAAATATATGTACAATTGCAGCATGAGTGACATACTTGGCCTATTCTTGTGTAACATGAGCTTGTTTCGTTTATTTATAGTCCTCCTTTCTTCCACAGAACAAAACTCAGGGGCTAGAGGGAAGAGTTGGATTCCAACTTCAATAAAACAACATTTGAAAATTACTATTATCCCATAAATTAAGTCCTACACTTAGACATGGGAGACCTGTGTTCAGATAGCCACAAATCCATGGTTTTCTGAATAGCTTCTGTCAACATAACTATGTTCCAGTTATACATGGCTGCTTTTACAAATTTGCTGTGGGGCTCCTTATGCAAAAGAACTTCCTGGCTTTTCACTGCAGTGTTAAAATTTCATTGGTTAGAAAGGTCTTTCGCCTTTGCCTGCCTTTGCTACCTGTTTCACTCCTCATTTTTGTTATTGTTGTTTTTAATTCTTCCTGCATACTTGGCATTCTGTTTTTTTCTAAAAAAAAGTTTGGCATGTACCAAAGGCTGAAGGGGAAGGAAGATTGCCCCTTCCCTTTCTACTGACTCAGGAGACCCAAGTTAAAACACCAGCTTGGCCATGTAAACTCACTAAGTGT